ATATATATATATTCCTTTTATGAAACTGTAAAATTATAAAATTTCTAAATAAAATGTTGCAACTATATATAAGAAATATGAACTGTGTCAGATTTAAGAAATCAACTTAATAAAAAATTACCACCAATGTTTTCAGATCATAAACAATAATATCACATAAAAATGAGGTAAACATGGTTGCTTTTATAGGCTGGAGCCCCCAAGAAACTTTATAATAAACTGTATTTGGAAAGGATAGTCTGTCTCCAAATATGGACACAGGTAACATAATTAAGATCAATCTAGATTCTCTTTAGACTTCATTAATTCTACCTATATCTGTAAACCTAAGAAGTCATCCCCTGGAGTAGCTTCTTGCTTCATAAGAAAGAATTTCTGCAACTGTATTTAGTAATTTCTAATAGCAAAATGCAAGCATTTCATATGATTTATTTCTTGTTGCTGTTTTGAGACAGGGTTTTGCTATGTGGCCTTAGATGGCCTAAAATTTACTAGGTTGACACAGCTTGGTAGCTGGAATTTGCCAGCTCCAGGTGCAGCAACACCGCACAGGACACACAGTAAAAAAGCACAAGAAATAGGGAGTGGGGGAGGGAGAGAATGAAGGAAGAAGAAAACCACAAGGAATATGTCCAGGAAATAGTGAAAATACAATGGTCACAAAAAAGAACTTTTAAAATAGAGAAACTCCATCCAAAGCCAAATACTACCTAAAAGTCCTCAGAAGAGGGATTCTGTATTAATTCAGGTGGAGTCAGACATCAAATGTTGGTGCCAGACTTAACTCAGTAAGCAGTTCCTTACCAGCAGCTGCTATGGCTCCTTTTCCACCACTCACTGCTTTGGGGGAGGGACTTGCAAACAGCTGTGTCTCCTCCTTTTCTTCCCTGGAACATTGGCCACCAAGGGAGGAGGAGTCTGGGGCTCCAGGCGCTGTGTCTTCTGAACCACTACTTAGATCAAGAGGGAGACAGGGTCCCAGCTTCTGCAGGGCCAGATGGGCAACGGCAGGAACTATATGAAATGGAATGGAGAAGAAAACCACAGTGTTAGCACAGAGAAGACAGCTCAGTTCCTATCAGTGTAGATCACTGGCATTCACACAGTGCCTGGCCTAAATAAAAATATAAATAATAAGTAAACAAGGCACCAGCAAGGTGTCTGTACAATACATGAGGCGTTTCTAAGTCCAGGAGACATTAAGAAGACAACTTAACGTTTCAAGTGATTGTTGCTAGATATTTATCTCCCTTTACATTTGGTTTCATAGGAAATCAATATACGTTACCCTCTGGTCCTGAAGACTCTGGCTGACTCTGAGAACTGATGGAGAACACTTTCCCATCAGTGGCTGAAGAGGAAGAAGAAAGCTTTTCTAGAGAATCGTCAGGCATGGGTAAGGTGGCTAACCGCTGGGACCTTCTTCTCCGCTCACTATGCTTGCAAGGTCTAGGGGGGTTCACAGGCTGTGGAGGACCTAGAAAAAGATCTTCAATGTTCACGAAGCAGATACATACCAGGATCAGCTTATAATATTTAAGGAGATAGCAGGGGGGTTGGGAAATGAGCCATACTCTGCCCTCTGATGCTGTTATTCCATAACCACAAGAAAGGGAACATTCCAGAGGCAATCAACGGCAAAAAAAAAAAAAAAAAAAAAAA